GCAGAGAGTCTTGTATCATTTATTTAAGTTCTATGCTGTGCCACAACCTGGTCAACAAATCATTTCTCCAATAATATGCACTGACTAAGCCAGATCAAACAGCCTATTAAGCCTGTTGCATTAAACTTAAGGATTCTTACAACAGTGGTCTTTTGAAATGCAATGTTGATTTGTGACAATCTTACATCTTCACTCACTTCAGAACCCAACAAGTTTAACAATGTTTAAAACCTGTCGGTGCTCCATTCACTAGAACTGCATATTTCCCTTTGCTTCATACCTCTATAGTGAATGTCACAATAGTAAATTACTTTTCAGAACTAAAAGTTTTAGTAATGATCAAAATTACAATATGATAGCTTTGTTCAATGAGTTTGATGTCTTTGGTAGTGTGGCATTAAATCTTCTGAGACAGCATCTCTCTAAGCTCTGTGTTGGTTGCTGGCATTGGGGGAGTTGCACGGTGGAATTTACAAGGGGTTAGGTTGGTATTTTGTTTTTGCAGAGCTGATCCAGAATACAGAACACGAGTTGAAGGAGTGCCTACATTCATTGGTTCTACAGTAGCAGCAACTGAAATATGACTTATTTCCAATGCATCATTTGGCAGCAGGGTGGGGCTGTGTGACTGTTTGGTTTTGCCTTGCTCTAATTCCCTCATTACCTGTTTACAATAATTGACATAAAATAAATACTACTGACCAAAGATGTGTAAATATGTGCATTCAATCAACCTTCGCAATATGCAAAACCAAACATACATAAGTGTATCTCAAGAAACTTGGTGCATGTAAATATATTGAGGCTGGCATGTAATGAATTGAGAGTATAGCCTTCATTAGCAATGTTTGTCTTCTGAATAGACTCTTTGCATGATCTGGTCACATGGTACAATATCGGCCATGCTGGGGTGCAAGTTGCATAGTGGTACTTCCAAAACAAAGCAACTCACACCAGTCCAGTTTGACTTTCCTTAGTTTGCAAATTCTGCAGTGCAACTTGCATCCCAGAATGACAGATTTTGTATTATGTAAAGGAATTGTGCAACGGGCCTATTCTGCCACTGAGTTGTACCCAGTAATGGAAAGGATTCATTGATAAATGAAAAAGATAAGACTAGTTTATTCCAGTCTGACGACTGGGAGAAGGGAAATATCTGGTGCATGAACCAAGAACACTCATCTGAATGTAGAGTCCAATACATTTGCCATTAGGGATAGGCATCATGCCACTAAGCTTGTAACTTAGAAGCTTGGAGAACTTAATGTGGCCTGACAGCTTTAGTGCTAAGAAAATCTTTTTGCATGACAGACTTGGTGCAGCACAGTGACCTTTGGAAATTAAATCAGATGTTTGAGTAAAACCTAAGTCCCAGTGCTACAATTTTAGTCGAATTGTACTTACAGAGTTCTTAGAGCTGGCTTGATATCTGTTACGTGGAGAGGATGAGAAGCAAGTTGTTGCACCTGATGAATGTCTAGGAATAATATGACAAAAACAATGTAAGAATTCAACAAAAACTTTTACGTAAATAAATCCTTTTTGTAGCATTATTAACGATAATGCATTCAGATCTGTCAGAAGTATGGAACGCTCCTTACCGTCTCCTGACTCTTCTTCGTGGTCCAGCCAGTACTCTGAACTCATCAGTTGCAGCTGTTGCTGATTCAAACACTTGGTCGTGATGATGTTTTGGTGACATCAGAGTTGAACCACTGCTTAAAGTTGGTGATGCCGTAATGCAGTGACTGCTTCCATGACACCTCTCACTTGGAGAGGGCACATAGGACATAGCATCAACAACCTTGATGTGCTCTGTTTCATTTGACAGCAATATCCGGCCATGACCAGGTTTAACTAAAAACAATGACCAGCCATTATCAGACCTACTGAGACTTACATGTACTGGTCATTTGCCCCATATTTTGATTTTCTGTTATTCTTCTATTTCACAAGTCCCAGCAAGTCTATTGTAAACATTCATTGAAGCTAGAATTAACTGTAGCAGTCATCTTGTGTAAAATCCATAGTTCAGCACTTGAATATTTTCAATGCTGTGTTTCATGGCTCAAGGTTACCATATACCTTTAGAGGTGTCTCTTGTCTGAGCCATGTAGCGAGTCTGGTTTAAACTGTAGATACCTAAACTGTTGAATCAAATTAAAGCTTATAGAGTTGGCTATCAAACTATACAAATCCTTTTGAAATAAATTGAATTGTTGAATTTTTCACAACCTCTGTAATGTGAGCATCTGAATCACCTTTTGAAAGCTACAAGCTAAAGTCAAAGCAAATTTTGTTTTAATTAAAATGAACGCTCACGTCAGTTCAAACAAAACACACTTTAAGCAATAACGAAGCACGCAATGTCTAAAAATAGAATGCAAATTATTGGAACCCAGTAAGAGTCAGACAACATAAGCATGTTCTGAGAGAATTAGGAGGAAAATGAACGCCAAATTTTCGTTTTAAAAATTGTTTTAGGAACACTTGCTTACGTGCTTGAAAAAGCATCAAATCTTCCACCAGTACGTTTTGTTTGTCTGGGTTTGTCTGAGTTTGTCTGAGTTACGCTATTATTTTAATGAGATTTGACATTTTAACTTTCTTGAGAATACTTGAGAATTTACTTGTGGGGACACTTAAAAAAATGAATTAAAGTGAGATGTTTCAAATATTGTTCAAAATGTAACTGTGCTATGAGTAGATTGTAAGTAAATAATTTTTGCACTTATTGCTTGAACTTTGCATGGAATCTGTCTTAAAAATACGGAAATAGTAATCCTACCCATTTCAGTAAGTGGTTTTAAAGGAGCCAGTGGTTTAATAGGCGTTGTGAACATCTGGGTGGAGGCTGATACAAGACGAGGATTGCTGATACCTTGAACGTTGGTCAAATCAGTCATCATCACTCTTCTGCATAAAACCACAATACCCAAAGAAATTGAATGAAATGAAGTTCACTTGCACAGAGTAACTGGTAATTTTAAACAATATTAATAACAAAACCATCTAGAATGAGTCTTTGACTCTTGGGGGATTGCTGGTGTGTCTGAATTTTATTTTTATTACAGTTCTAATTTGTTCCTTAGAAAGTCCCATCTTTTAACTTAAATGTTTTCCTGATGTAAGTTCTTTTATATCCTGCTGCTCTTAATACAAAGATCTGGGAAATTAAAAGGCTGTATAGTCACTACATGCAAAGGTGGTCTGTGATATACATGTAAACAATAATACTGATAGGACAGATTTTTATACCTTTTGACTGCAGGGGAAGCTGAAGAGGCGTTCTGATCCAGTGGCCGACGTTTGTTGTACAACCTCAGGCTCATTCTTTGGCTGTTACGGACCACAAAATTCTCCAGTTCCAGGTCATCTATAGGATAATCAACAATACCCAAGTGTTCTACAGGTACAAGCAACAAACCCCATGCCATATGCATCCATGGACAGTAAACAACTCTTTTAGTAGCCGCTCAGCTCTGTTCTAAAATTATATCGGAAATCCACAAATCTGATTGGCTCTCATTGATTTCTGTAGGCAACAATCCCACGCACTGCTCTTGAGACTGAAGATTGTTCTTAATTTCAGGCTTAAAAATACTCAAAATGGTAGGTTTTGTGGTGTTCTGCTTTAGCGTGTCTACTAAAAACAATTACAGCACTGTATATGTTGTAACTCTTCCTCATTTTCTATGAACGACAGGGTTCCAAATAAGTTTTCACATTAGGTTGTCAATACGGAATTCCAACAGGTCTGAATTCCCACTGCTCCCAACAAATCCTTATAAATTTTCTATTGATTTGTCACGTCGACAGTATCTGGAAACACCGAGGGATACTCAACTCAGCTGTGCCTCATTGACTAATCGCTCATAGAAAAGTCAGGCTCAGTCAAATTGTTAAAAGATGTATCTGCTATAAGAAGCAGATACATCCATGTTCCAAAGGGGTAAAGTTAGGTTTTGGGGTTAGGGGATAGTGTTCAAGTTTTTCTGTTGGAAACAATGGAGAAAACTAGATTTTAGTGTTTGCTATAAAAAAAAAAAGGGTTACGTCTTGCATAAACAAGCTCCTTACAGTGTTTGTGGCAGTCAGAATGAAAAATGACAGCTGCTATAAATAACAGTATGCTGCACAAATACTATATATGTTGCAAGACTTTCTAATGCCTACCTTGTTTGCCCAAACCATTGTCGTCAAGATTATATTTCACCTTGTTTCTCATTAAATCTGCCTTCACACTTCTGGAGCGCCTGTGAGTATGAACTGGTGTTTTGGAGGATGAGGTTTTGAACTTGCTTAGACTTTGGCCCAGACCAGATACAAAGCCTAGTCAGAGATTATCAACTAGTTAACAATGAAAGTACTGAACAAAGTTAATCACATATATGTACAAAGAGGATCTTTCATCACCACACAAAGATACAAAATTTCTCAGAGTGTTGAAAAATATTTTGAAAAATATTTTTCAACACAAGAAGAGAAATATTTTGTATCTCCAAGCAGCCATGTACACCTGTAATGTTCTATTTATTATATAAACACCAATAAAATATCAGAAACCATTTCACTTTTGCTGCAAAATGCAAAATTTATTACATAACCATAGCAATGGTGATCTTTTTAAGTTTGAAGATAACATGTTAAATGTGTTAAATGCATGTCCAATGGATGTAGCACACCCAGGTTAAACTGGAGATATCTAAACCCCTACACATGTATTTCACGACCTCTAAATGTGAGCATCCGAATCATTTTTTTGGTCCCTTTTGAAAACTAAAAGTCAAAGGGAATTTGTTCCTTTGCCCTCAAATTTGGACTGTAGCCAGTTTGAAAGTCAAAATAACAAAAACATGTCTGCGAATTTTTATACCAAAATTCTTGGTATACATGTAGTTCGATAGCTCTATAAGCTTTAATTTGATAAAGGGGTTAAGGTACCTAACAGTTTTAACCAGACACGCTACATCACTTAGATGTGAGACATCTACATGTATACAGCACACGGTAACCTTAAATACAGAGCGAAAATAATTAAAACTCAGTTGAATCCGGTAGCTGTTTGTCTGTTTGCAGTATGTTAGTATATTTCTGGCTGTGGCTTGTTTCCAAGGAAATGCAGCTGTACATCTGCATTCCCAGGCTATATGCTTACTTACATGTACAAATAAATGCCCAATCATGTAAATTGGCAGTGGAAGAAAAACATTTCCTTTGCGATAGACAGTTTCTCTTTCATTTAATTGTTCCTAAGCTAAAGGCACATATGCCATAGGTGTTTTATTGCTGAAGGTAATATGCGTTTAATGTGTCTTCAGCAGAATTACTAATCACTTGTTTGCAACCAAGTGTGCGTTCCTTTCGGGTGACCTGGACCAGGATCGCAGTGATCCAAGATCACTCAGATTATAGTGCATTAAAGGAACTGATGAATCTGTGACCAGAGTGGATTCATGGGTTCCTTTGATGCACCATGATCTGAGTGATCTTGTATCACTGATCCTGATGCAGATCACCCCAAAGGACACACCCTTAGAGAGTGGCATACCTGAGAGTGAGCCAGTCCGTGTTCGTGCTCTTGATTGCCTCTTATTGCCTCTCCTCAAGTCTGCATCAAGCTCATCACCAGATGATGTTAGACCATCCACAATTTCATCTCCAATCATTTTTGCTCGCTCATAAATGTCCTCATTTACTAAGCCAATGTCATCAGCATTTTTCAGAAGGATATCAATGACAGCAGTCTGCTCTTTAAGCTGCTTTTCTGAGGCATTGTTTCCTTCCTTCTTTGTGTTGTGTATAAGGTTAGGGGTGAGAACAATGGCAAGGTTTGAGGTTCCCATTTTACTGTGCTGCGAGCATGATGCTACTTTGGCCAGAAACCTCATGGTAAACTGCAGTGTACTGAGATGTGGAATTGGTAGCAAGAGACAGAGTAGCAGCACTGCCTCAGTCTGGTCACCATGATCTTCCATACGCTGAGTCTTTATGAAGCAGTCGTGAAGCAGAACAGTCAGAAGTGGTTCTGGAAGCTGCCTGAAAAACTGTTTCACCAAACTTGCAACATCATGGGGTTGAACATTCTTGAATTCCTCTCCATTTTCTGCTTTTTGCTGCTTGAAAGTATTTTAAAAATTAAATTAAGATGTGTAGCCCACTAACATACTGTAAAATGCCAGCTACAATATATTGTACTGTTGGTCCATCCATCTGCTTCCAAAAGTATTTTGCCAGAAGTAAGTAAGGTGTAAGCCCAGGCGCTATGTACCTCAAGGCACGAGGAGGATAGTTCAAGTATAAGCTGGCCCTGGGCTTATTAGGGAGTGAACGGAGTGTAGATGTACACGTCTGTAGCAAATACTTCATGTACATGACCATCAAGAACCCTACAGCTGATCACCACTCATGACTGGTTATATTATTATAGCCATAAACTCTATTTATTATAATAATTATACATATGAAAGTTAATAATTCCTCCTTCAGGAGCACCTGCATGTTGGCAAACAAAATCGTAAACATGGTAAGTTGCACACAAATTTCTACATTACTAAAAACATTCAGATGATTGTTATAATTCCTCTTCTGTGAGGGTGAAAAGAAAAGCTAGCCTTAAAATGCAGACACCTTTCTGCATTCAGGTTCCCCTTCAATCATTGTTGTATCCTGATAGTATATAGAGTTTAAGGTTTTTCCTAACCTTGAGCAGCTTTTGTCTTTGAATAGACCCAGACTTTCTAAAGAGACCCTCTGTCTCTAGATGTTGCTGAAGGAAATTTGCACAATCCACCAAGAATCTAGGAAGGAAAGTATGATCACTTCAAAGATGGAATCACAAGCTTCTGTATGCTGATAGTATTTACATTGTACTAAGCAACATGTTTGTTGAATTTCTTCATGTATGTCTGTTTGCATTATTAACCACCATCCTGTACTTTGGTTTGTGAATGTATAGAGTTGTTTGTCACCATCGAGGCTACCCAATTTGGACAGTTTTTGTTTGTTTGTTTGTTTGTTTGTTTGCTTTTTCAGGGGATGGGGGGGAATGATAAACTTGAAGATGTGTCTCAACTATGGAAAGTGGGAGTCAGGATTGTCAACAAGGTTACAGAATCTTAGGGTACATTCCTTTAGGATGATGCAAATTAGGATAAAATAATAATGATCCAAGATCAATCAGATCATGGTGGATCAAAGGCAAGACCATGATTAATGACCATAACCCAAAACACCTATTGTGCTTGATGGGCCCTGAATATTACAAGTCCAGCTAATGCGCCTGTTGATATAATTCACTCACAAAGCAAAACGTTTGGTACATGTAAGGGTGTGAAGATCAAGACAAAAGGTTACTCAAAGCCTTTATGGCAGCCCTGTCAAAGAAACCTATGAATCACTGCTTAGAGTGGATTCATCAGTTCCTTTGATGCATCAAGATCCAAGTGATTCTGAATTATTGAACGTGTCTGGATCATCTCAAAGGAACCCACCACCTAAAACCTCTATTTTCATTGGCCCATATGTAACACTGCCTCTATTGTTTTCTAGGCCAAACGCATGTAGGAGCATTTTTGTTTTATTAAGAAGCAGAAGGTCAGTCCAGGATTTTATATTGACAGATGCTACCTACCTACCTATTTTATTTTCTAAAACAAAACAATCCTCACACCTGCATAGTAGGCTGGTATTTTTTATTTTATATGTGTGGGTTTTTTTTTTCTATTTAATTTAATTTTTTGGCAGATCAAGCAGGGTAATTAGGAGCACATTTTTGCTTGCTGTGTGAAAGCTTGGTTAGTTACAATTTATACTGAAAGTTTGAAATTCCAGCCTGGTTGAACATAGTGGTGAGGAAAAATTCAGAACTGACAGAGAGATCAACTAAAACAACAATCTCGTCTAGTGGGATGATTACTACATAAGAAAATATACTACTTGAATGTAAGCCTGGGCTTGTTATAATGATAAAAGTTGTGATGTATGTGATGTATACGTGGCTTACTTTGGCACACTGCAGTAGAAATCCTCTCCAATGTTAACCGATGGCACCTTTTCCAAACAAACACCAAATACACCACTTTTGTTGTCATCCGAAGGCTGCAGTAAAAGCAAAGATTTCAAGATTTGGTTTAATTGTAAACGTTCCAATGTCGAGGTACGTAGGTCATTCAAAGAAGTACATAAGGAACACACATTAGGTATCTAAAAGAATCGTAACATTATCCTGCGAGAAGAGTCGTCTTCGATCTTCCAAAAAATTTTAAAGCTTTCCTCTTACCGATTTTTCTAGGAAGATCGGAAACGACTCTGCTTGCAAGGTAACAAACAGAATGAGGCAAAATGAAAATTCACGTACGGCCATCGAACTCGCTTACTTGAATTTTAACGCTCTTCTGCTTCGGTACTTTGATACCCATTGTCTTCAGATACCTTCTAACAACAAATCGAACGTTGTCTTTAAAATCAATGGAAGCTAGATCCTTCATTTTACATGTAAGCAATTCTGTTTTTTAGTTTGCATATGCTTCTTTGTTCAAACATCGGCAATAGCAAAATTCGAAAACTGTGCCTAACCGTTCCGGAATCTGATTGGTTGGCGAAAGATAAGCTGCCACTTACCGAAGATTTCCGAACAGTATACGAGGGTGACCACCTTGCGTGTGAGATTCATGCACGAGGATTAACGAAGATACTCCGAGTACGTCACCAGTTGACCGGATGTGTTTGCTCGGACTGCTGAAAGAGGAGAGGATTCAAGTGATGCAGCGTTTGTAATTCCAACGTGTCAAATGATAATTCCAAACTGCTTATGACGCATTTATCAGGAGATCTTTTACATTTTTTCACTCTTGTTCCAATGACAACTGATGATGGCGCTGATTTGGGCTAAATGTAACTTGATTTCATGCGTCTATATTGCCTTAAATTTCTGGAACTATTTTTAGCCAACATCAAGCAGGTAAGCTTAAACTTATGAACAAGTTGAAATTGTTTTTCCTTTTCCGTGAATTTTTAGTGGGCAAGAAAATGCTAAGTTCTTCATGTTTGTTCGATAATTGTGTTCATTCTGTAAATATTAGAAGTCATATATTCGCTATCAAAGGTCAATGGACGATATGGACTCGATGAATGATGAAGAAGATGGCGATTTTATCAATTGTGATGAGAACCAAAGTCAACCTCGTGTCCGTGTTGCTTCGTTAGAGAAATTGGTGGACTACTGTGCAGAAGAATTTAGTAAGTTACATGTAACTTTCACGTTTGTTTTTCTTTTTTGTTTTGTTTTTTCTCACTGCCATTGTTGGGAGATTTGTTTGTTTTTCACAATTCGTTAGGCAATCGATCACGGCATGTGTGTTCGGAGCTTTTGTTTTTCGTGAACTTTTATGAAAGCGGGACCAGTCGATGTTGTCCGTCGTTCTGTCTTTTCTGTCCGTTGACAATGAACGAGACCAGGAAGGCAAACCGGAAAAAAAATTTAGAAGTGAAGAATATTACAAAAGCTGAACGAAAAAGTTTTAAAGTACTTCACTAAATGTAACAACACACAGGTATCCCATTAATCAATGTTTATATAATAAGTTAAATTATTGAAAATTGCATTTTGATTGGTTTTCACCTATGATCTATCAGATGACAGACGCATAGATGACGTCATTATAACAAACATTTTCCTTCTGTTTTTAAAATGGCGGAAAGTTTTCAGAATGTAGATAATATTTTACGAGACTGGGTGAAAGGTAAGGTACAAAAAAGTCTTGTCAAGGCTGTGAACAGGTACGAGAAGCAGGAACACAAAAAAGCTGTTTCTNAATTGGTAAGCTGAGGGGGGTCATGCGATTTTTAAATGGTGCTTCCCAAATCCCACCAGCCCCCCCTCCCTCATAAAAAATGAACGGTCCCTAAGGGAAGCACTTAAGTGGCCATTGCTGTTGTGAAGAGGTAACCACTGTAGGGAGGCTAAAATAAGTTAGAGTGAATGTACAATGCATTAACTGTCCTCAGGGCCAAAAAGAGTGTGCAGCTATTGTAGAGAGGTGATGTTATCCGGTCACTTTGTTCCATGGTCACTTCATTCCAAGTCACTTCATTCTATCCATTAGTCACTTCGTTCCATCAGAGTCACTTCGTTCCAAAGAATAGTCACTTCAATTTGTTCCAAGGGGAAATCTTACAAATCTTTCCAATCTTACAAAGCTACTAAACACCTAACGTGGATAGAATGTTGATTCGATACAAACTTCTAGGTTACTTACAAAAGTAAACTAGAAGAAATATCCCAATGAAAGTGTTTAATCTTTGCATCAGACCAAAAAGATCCCCAGGACTTGGAATTTGAAATTGCAGCAGACCATATCCCATCAGAGTTCCTGAGCGCTGACATCAGATTGCGGGGTCAGAGACACCTAGTTTTCGCCACCAATCTGCAGTTCGAGTTCCTTGCCCGTTCAAAGTCTTGGTACATCGATGCCACATTTATTAGCTGTGCTGCGGAGTAACTCGTTCATAAACGAAGATTCGAAACAGACCAAGCATTCGTTAACTTCAAATTTTCAGAAAAATCTATCGAGAATAAAAGTTTAATAGCTTAGCTTGCCTCTGGAACGAAGTGAGTATTCTTTGGAACGAAGTGACTATTTGGTGGAACAAAGTGACTCTTTGATGAAACAAAGTGACCGTAAACCGAAGTGACAGTTAGTAGAGGTTCCTCTGTATCATTCAGTATAAAGGCATGGGTGAGTGGGTTATTAAAGCATTATTATTTATGTAGAGCAGATTATTTTGATATTGAAATTTCTTTTCTTTGTTAGTTTGTTAACATAATCATTTTATCGTCTTAGTTAAGTCTAATGTAAGTCCTCTGGGTTTTTTTTAAGTATTTTATGTACTGGTAAGAGTTATTGTCAGTTACATTTCTAATTGAGTTAAACTCTTTTAGTGTCTAGTTACTTTTGTTGGAATATTCTATCACTTTTGACATTCCCATGTTTTAAATTTTACCAATATTTGCTAACTACATATGAATTTTGATGACCTCACAGAGATCAAACCGTCGCTTTTTTATCACTAGTTTCTAACAATTTAACCCATTTATTTCGAAATGCTTTTTTGTATGGACCTATGGACACTCATGTTTTATTTTACAGATTTTGGATATCCAGCTATGGTTCTGACTTCAAAAAAGATGAACAACTCACCGCATTATTGACTGAGTTTCATGAAAAAGTAGAATGTGAAGAGGAGAAAGATATCATTCATCTGTCCAATGTGTAAGAGCTACTATCAGTCACATATGTTATATGATTCCAGGAAATACCAAATGCCCATGCTGAGGAAGGANAGGCCTGCAGAAACAAAGTAAAAAGCCATATAACAAACCTTGAACTTTCTGTCTTTACCGGAAAGTCTCAAACCTTGGCCTTGCCGTGTTGACCTCACTATCACTCAGTCAGTATATGGCAAGGTCTCGGTTTGAGATTTTCCTATAAAAACTTCACTCTTGGTTTAATTGGTAGTTAATATGTAAATAACATTATTTATTAGTTTTCAGAGTGGAAGACTTATGTTTGCACTGGAAAATTAGGGGAAACAACTTATCTTGAGAGATATGTAGCTCTTTTCAATGGCTTATCACGTTGGGTACAAGCAATGGTTTTGAACTGTGTTACACCCCAGGAGAGAGCTTCCTGTATCGAAAAGTTTCAGCAAACAGCCAAAGTAAGTTATAATTTTCTCTTAAACAATCAGATACCCATACTCAAATACCTGGAAAAGCAACTTGAAGTTCATGGTTTTGTGCAGTGGGGTAGGCAATCAAAAACCAGGTCGAGTAATGTTGACAGGGCATTGCCTAAGGTAGCACAGGCAACTGTTTCCCTGTTTAGAAGTGAATATATGAAATATCATATAATTGAACCATGGAGAAAGATATGACGACATTATTGTTCATCGCAGCTATATGCATTGCACAACTTAAGCAATTGTGAGGTTAAATCCTGAAAAAAAATTGAGACTTGAACAGGATTCGAACCCATGTCCCCTGTGATACCGGTGCAGTGCTATTGTTTCCCAGGCTTCAATAACTGAAATTGTTTCACAACTGCTTAAGTTGTGTATATAACTGCAATGATTAAACATGTCTTCATATGTTTCCCTGTTTCTTATCAATATGTGTTGAAGTAAAAAAGATACAAAACAGGGAACAATGTTTAAAGTTTGGCAGCACTGCCATCTTGATCAATTCTTGAAGCTTTGGTGGAGACAACAATTCCAGTTTAAGAGGAACTAGCTGGGGCCTACACGTACTATCTTGTCAAGTAGAAATGCCAAATGGAACAAAAATTTTGCAGAATTTCCAAATTTGTGGATAAAAGACAACCTCAAGAAGTTGACCAGAATTGTCTGTTCTGATGGATTTTGTTCTGACATTTCTGGAAATTTTGGTTAAATTGAACACACCCATTATATCTGGTTGTAGAAAAGTGTTTCAAATATTCTGTTGTAGTTCAGGAATCTATAAATCGCGACCTTGTCAGGCAGGGCAGTACATGTAGGTATTTCTGATAAGAGGAGAAATGGAAAAGGGCAAAAATATAGCAAGCTTATTAGATGCCCTTGTTTTCCATTTCTCCTCTTACTTGTCTACGTTATATTTATCTTTGTAATTTTAGAATGGAATAAATAAATAAAATGAAAAAAGTGAACATTTCTGATAAGTACCTACAAAGTATTGTTGTGAGGCAAAAAATTGTAGCACAATTGCTAGAAAGTGTTACAATATCAGGATTTAGCTGCTTAACAAACTCCAGACAACATTTTGCTATTCAAGGTACATATAACCAAAAATTGTCCATATTATTTATTTTTCCTTATATACAGAATTACATACGTTGAGCTAATGGTGTACACATAAGACACAAGGTTATTCCTTGTCATAGTAACTAAGAAAAGTCTTTTGATTTTTGCTGTGGTCATTGTGCTTCTTTCTTTACCAAGCATTTGAAGGAACTCCAGAATTTTAATGGTTTAATGGCAGTGGCTGGAGGACTGACAAACTCAGTGTTGTCACGCTTACGACAAACTCAGGAGCTACTCTCAGAAGATTGTCGCGAGGTACTAATTCTTCCACCCAGCTAAACTCACTCAGATTATAGTACAGTTTGATCTCCCATATCAAGGACCCATTAACCGATTAATGCACACGCTCACACTTGAGAAAAATAGCGTGCAAATTTGGTTGCAATTGGATGTTTTTTTCTTGGTGTTTCCCAAAATGCAATGTAAAAAAGTAACAGCAAAAACAAAATAAGAAATAAGAGAAAAACAGAGAAACAAGTGAAAAAGAAAAAAAACTTATCTCCGCNGGTCAAAAACCCAACAAGATCGGCTACATAACCCAACAAATTAATGGAAAATTTACAATGATTTGGTGGGAGCAGTGGGAATCAACCTATTGGAATTCGTAATGACTAATTGACACCTTGTCTTGAAAACTTGTCTGTAACCCTACGAGTACATTGACTCCCTGTGTAACTCACTGATTGAATTGCAGAATGACTGAGGGTATATGGTGCTGTGAAACTCTATTAATCACAGTGAGACTGAACATCTGATTTGGTGACAGCATCTTGAATTATTTAATACTAATACTTCTACAGGCATTCAGTTAAAAGATCTTATTGCCTTGCACACTGCACTCCCTGACACCGTGGATGGACATCTCCTTAATGTACAGAAGATGATTCGTTTATCAAATATCATGTCACGACTACTGCAGGTGCAAACCTCACTTCCAGCTTTGCAGCCAAATTTGGAACTCATCAAAATGTTACGGGTAAGATTGATATCAAACCAATTTAAACTTAAAATTCCATGCACTTTTGTTACACAGTTCAAGGGATAAAATTAATACTTTCTAAATTTTGGTATTTTAAAATTAAATTAAATGTAGTTATTGTTTTGTTTCTTTTGCTATACAGTCAAACTTCCTGTCGGCAATTACCTTAAATGTCAAACCTTGATGGTCACTTATGCATAAACACTAGAGAAGTGATTTAAATTTTTGAATTTGATTGGGAAAAAAAACTAATTTTATCTAAACAGCACAACTTACTCTAGGCCAGAATGCAAAGTATAAATTAAAATTATCCTATTTCAGACTAAAAATTTATATCCCCTTATGGACCATAACTGTATAACATTATGTATAATATTAAAATGGGTTTAATTAATGTTTTCCTCTTTTTTGTCAGAATAATCAAGATTTATTTCGGAAAATATTCATATTAATTCTGCATCTATAGTTAAATTAGATTACCCTGATATTTTGTGTCTGCTAAGTTTGCACTTTCACTACACTGTGTGACTTAAGTTTCCATTATTACTGAAAGGTCAAAAAACAATACTAACAATTGCTCCACCTTTTTTTCAGGTCTCACTACAACCCAGACTCACAGACGAAGAGCTGTATGAATTATCTCTTGCAAGGGAACCAAGAATGCACAGTCATTCTGTAAGAAAACTAGTGATGCAATATTCATTCCATTACATCTTGAAGTTTTATGATGATTATTTTGGTATTTACGCCTCATAAGATGTCAGCTAGTGATCTCCCGACCATTATTTTGAGGTGTGAAGTCATGACTGAAATTTTTCAATCNTGTAATAACCCTGATATTTTGACGGTAACTGGCCATCCACGAGCACTTAAGAAGAGGCTGTCCAGAATCTTAGCCCACCGTAAAGTCATCTAGCTAACGTAAGCCTGCATGAATTTCTGTTGTTTACTCCCAATGTATATTATTTCAATTCACTAGGTGGCTTGTAGCGCACCCCACTGATGACAGTGCTTCTTGCATTAACAAGTGATCCCACATGTTTACTTACTATTTTCTTGTATTCTGTGTAGGCTGTGTTCAAAGTTTATGACACAAACAAAGATGGTTCAATATCAACAGAAGAGTTTGATGCAATTGCTACTAATTTTCCATTTATTGATTCATTTGGAGTTCTCGATGTTAACCGGTGAGAATTTGGTTTGCTATTTGTTCTTAAGTCTCATCAGATGATTTAATGTCCAAGTAGTTACGAAGGCTCACGCGCTTCACACACGAGGATCACGCTTATGGCGCTCCGCGCCTTCCGAATAGGGAAAAAAACGACTGTTTGGCAGTTTAAGTAGTTACGTAGACTGCAAAACAGTTGTATTTTTACGTTAGACAAGTAAATATGAATATTAATGGCCACTTTCGATTCGACCAAAATTCCGGTTTGAATTTGCACATTTTTAATGGCGAATGGAACAGTGTTTTCTGAAATTTCTAGAAAACATGACAACCTTGCAAGGTACACCAAAATTTTCGAAATTTATAAGTGGAACTTGAATTAGGAAATTCAACAATTCTCACGGATTTTTCAAAAGCTTTCAAGGAAATTTCCTTTTGCCCCAGTTTCGAATGTTACAGATTTAGTAACAATATACACTACCACACCTCTTCCCCTGCCTTAAAAATGTCTAGTAAAATTAGCACTTCCGCTGAAGTTTTGATAAAGGGTGAAATTGACTGAGTTCTCGCCACACTCCAGTCCTACCAGAAAAGCGTTCAAGGTAGCTAGTGCACTGAATGCAATGAATTTGATACTTTTTGCCAGATCTTAGCCCACGTTTCAGAGTAGCTTTTACAATATAAAATGCCCTACATTCAGTTAAATTACATATAAAGTATATGTCGCATGCATGTGTGCAAACCGAAAATCACACGCTTTTCGTAATCAAGTTTATGAAACTTGCAGTTCGTTGTAAACTTTGTGTGTCTTCGCTTTTTTGCACAAATGGCTCTGTGATTTGAAGTAACGGTCACAATTTCGCCACTTGATAATTTCAAGTTATGCATGCCTCATTCGTGATCAGGGTGTGCTTTAGTTTGCTCGTGACGTCAATAATTTTCAAGTTAATAAACAGAAGTAACTTTGAGACTGATTTCATTGTGTAGTGATGGAGTTATCAGTCGTGAAGAGATGAAGAATTACTTTATGAAAGCGCACTGTCACGAGTTGAGTAAAGGCTTTTCGCACACCTTTCAAGAAACAACGTACTTCACACCAACCTTTTGTGACCATTGTGCAGGCATGGTAAGGAACGCATTTATAATTAAACTGTACAGAGCATATTCACTCACGTGTCCAGCAGCCATGCAAATTTATTGGAACGAACGAAAGTCTTTACATGTACATAAGAAAAGAGTTGAAATTCCACAGGATTGGTTTGGTATACCAACATGGCTGCCGTGTCATTCTTTTGGAACACCAATATGGCTGCCATGACGTCATGTGCATGCGTTCCACAGTCAGGAACATGNCCTCACCTTAATAAAGCTCTTATGACTGATGAACTTTGTCTCCAGTTTGAAGATACTTTTCTTTTCCATTTTTCCGCTCACTACTGTGTTTTTCTACCCTCTGTATCCATTAACACTGGTTACGATTGACATCTCAACAAAAAACATCACGTGATTTTGTTGGGGCACACAGCAATCGCGTTGAGGTCAGGAAACCCTGCTCTACACTGAAAAAAATTCACATTCAAAGTTTTTTAGCAAATTGTTTCGCTTTTTTTCCTCCGGTACCTCAAATTTAAGGTAGCGGAATCCTCTTGGCGGGATGGGGCAGGGGAACCAGCGAAATACACTTTTTGTTGTGACCTCCAAGAAGCACTTCTGTTATTAACTAAACCTTTTCACTCTGCTATAAACATTAACTTACTAACAAAGAGCAATAGCTCTTCGGATCAAACCTTGTTGTGTGCTCTCCGAGTTATTTTGTCAACGAACAAAGGATATGGTCTTTCATTTTCTTTGCACAGGAGGTTGTCTGATAGCGCATAGTTCTCTCTTGGTAGTTAACAAAGGAGAAACACTCTGTTTATGGTTATCATTATCATTCTTGAGCTGAGTGTATGTCACTTGATTTTGTTTTTTTCATTAAACATTTTAGGCAAATGAAGCAATCCTGGCGGAGAATGTTCGTCTTCACAGGGACTTACAAGACGCCACACACAAGTTAGGCTTGTTGCAAAATCATCTGAATTCTCTGAGACAAAACACTGTTACTTTTATCTTGGAGCAGATGGACGCTTTACAGATGCAGAAGGATACGGAGGTATAGGACGTGCTGGAAAAGGGAAAATCCTTGTTTTAAACGTCCTGCGACGTATTCGGAAATAATCTTTTGTACTGTAGTATTGTAAATCACCAGAAAACGTGTGATGTTTTCATTTACAAACATTACTAAACATTTCACAAATTCAAGCTAAAATGTAACATGGGCAAGACATCTCACTGTAATTTTCTACTTATTATTTTAACTAGGACAGTTATCATGATGTCTTCTCAACAATAGTTCAGTTGTTNTCTTTTCTTTGTTAGTTTGTTAACATAATCATTTTATCGTCTTAGTTAAGTCTAATGTAAGTCCTCTGGGTTTTTTTTAAGTATTTTATGTACTGGTAAGAGTTATTGTCAGTTACATTTCTAATTGAGTTAAACTCTTTTAGTGTCTAGTTACTTTTGTTGGAATATTCTATCACTTTTGACATTCCCATGTTTTAAATTTTACCAATATTTGCTAACTAAATATGAATTTTGATGACCTCACAGAGATCAAACCGTCGCTTTTTTATCACTAGTTTCTAACAATTTAACCCATTTATTTCGAAATGCTTTTTTGTATGGACCTATGGACACTCATGTTTTATTTTACAGATTTTGGATATCCAGCTATGGTTCTGACTTCAAAAAAGATGAACAACTCACCGCATTATTGACTGAGTTTCATGAAAAAGTAGAATGTGAAGAGGAGAAAGATATCATTCATCTGTCCAATGTGTAAGAGCTACTATCAGTCACATATGTTATATGATTCCAGGAAATACCAAATGCCCATGCTGAGGAAGGATGTTAGAAATTCTGATGGGGACTAGCACAGTCTCAAAACCCAAATCTGGAATTTCTGAGTGGTGGGGGTTCCACTCAAAAAAACTTCCCTGGGAAGGGTTGGCATGTTTTCTGGAATTTTGTACATCTAGTGTTTTTTTACAAAAGTGCTCCCTTGGCAGTAGAATATTGAGTCATTTAAAGTGTGACAAGACGAGTAGGTCATTGACACCTCCAAGCTTTATAACTACTAGTCTTTGAAGCATGTCTACTTCCCCTACTAAAAAAAAGCTGCAACTGGGATAGCAATCTTGAGGCAAAATATTTCATGTTTAAATGCCACTAAATTTGTTATCCATGATTTAATCTTTCTCAAAATGAACCATCCTTGTTGACAGTGCCGCTCAAAAGTAAGTTACCACCTCTCGTCTCTTGAGACAAGAGTCTCGTCTCGAGAGATGAGAGACTCGTCGTGCGAGACCAGAGTCTCGTCTCGTGAGAACCAATGAAACGTATATTTTGGAATAAATTACAGGCAATTGGCTTCCAAGGAAATAATTAATTTCTCGCGACGCGTTTGTTGCGATGTAGGCTTCCTGAAGTTCCCAATAATACAGCGTCTTGAATTGAAACTTGCTTCGCTAGATTCAACACTGTCATTACAAATGAAGAACTTTAAAGGATTGGAGTTATGAAGAAAAGAAGTTACATGTATGAAGAAACAAACACCACGACATCAGCAAACTATTGTGTAACATTGATCGCACCGCTTGGTGAAATGTTCTGCATGTAGTTTTAGGCTTTTAATGTGTTGAATTTCCATGTTACATGCGTGCGAGCGAATTGAAACGAAACTTGTTTTGTAAGATCTGTACTATCCCCAGAATTGAACAAGCTGATTTGTTATGGAAAGCACTTAGTAAAGTTTCAATCTTTCTCCAATTACTCAGAGTTATTCCTCGGTGCATTGAATTTGTATTTCATGCCTGTGTGAGTCCATTGAACTGGAACTCATTGTTTTCTGTATAGATGAAAAAACTTCAACTTGATCACATACAAATTGAAAATGTGACTACACATTGTTTCATAACAAACGCACATGATTGGGAAAGACGTGTCGAAAGGAAAGGATTCTTTACGGTGACCAGAAAATTTGAAAGAAGTATTTCTCGCCAGGCTAGGCTATAGGCGGCAAGTGGAATGGGGCTCCTCATATAAAAAGATTAGCTGAGAAATATAGTTTGAAAACTGAGCAAATGAATGGGAGATGGAAATATTAATAAAACGTTACTCCAGTTTTGTAATACATGTTTATCACTATTACAATTTATACAGAATACTACTACTAAGTGTAATACTTAGAATTATTGTTGATATACTACTACTGGTTACAACCAAGCGTACATGTAATACTAAAAATCCTAAGCAAGTATACTATGAACTGTTTCATGTCCTTGAGGGTTAATACTAATAAGCAAAAACCTACAAATTTTTTGTATGACAATATATTTGAAAACATAATAAGTCAATAAAGCATGTGACAATGACAGATAAAGAAATTTTTCCTTGGAGAAAACATGTAGTTCAAACCAAATAAAATCCTGCAATTCAGCAAACTTAATTTCTAATTAACTACCTTTTCAAAAGCCCTTCATTTCCCAAAAGTTATTGTTGCCTGTTACCTTTTCTCAGTGTGCCCTGCGTAAACACTCGTCTATCGCGACAATGCACTTGCGCCATTGCGCATCTTCCTGCGCTTGTCTGCAGGGATACAACTTAAACACATACTTTCTAACTATACCCAGCTCCCCTTGATCTAATAGCATTTTCCCCCTTGTCCCCGAACAATTTATTTCAGCTGTCCAGTGCCCAGGTTGAAAAATAGTTTCAACAATTCTCTTGCCAAGCTGAGTTTCAGACGCAAATGGGAACCGCCGAAGTTCAATGGTCGTGCAAAACATCCCTACAAAGTCCATGTTTGGGCTGGGATTTCTAAACGCGGTGCAACGAGGGTCCTTGCGTTTACTGGAAACATGCATGGACGTCAAGTTTTACGTCAAAGAAATCCTCGGCAGAACCCTGCTTCCTTTCATCTGAGCAACATTTCCTGATGCTCACAGATTCCAACAAGACAACAACTCTAAACACACTAGCAGGCTCAGGTGAAAGAATTCATGAAATCAAGTGGGATTTACTGGTGGAAGATGCCTCCCGAGAGCCCTGACCTCGATCCCATAGAGATGTTATGGCATGAGCTAAAACATTTTCTGCGAACAATAGTAAAGCCCACAACTAAAGAGCAGCTACTTGAAGGAATTACTAGGTTCTGGATGGAGAGGTTGACGGCTGAAAAGTGTACTATGTACATCAATCACTTGAAGAAGGTTGTCCCAATGGTGATCCAGCACCAAGGCCTTAGGGCACTGAAAACAAAACGGTTCTTTTTGAGAACAACAATGGTACCTTTAGGAGCCACATTCAATAAAAGTCATGACCAATGCAATCCAATCTCTTCCCTTCAAAAAACCCCTGTAAACTACTTTGAAGTATTCATACTACATGTTAGTCTGTTGATTCCAAATTCACTTAATTGTTGATTGTGCTTACATGTAGCAAGAAAGTTAAAGTCAGTTGAGCAATCTGAAATGGAAAAAAAAGAGATGCTTTCAAAGTATAAACTGGCTTCCTATAAGTTTTACATGTGTTAGCAGACGTTTAAAAGTCAAAGAACTAATGCTTTATTTTATCGAATTCTGTCAAAATCTGTGAGGGAGTTCAGTCAATCAATGGAATGCTTTTGGAGAACGCTAGGACGAAACAGAAGTCTTTCAAAATGTGGAAGAGGAAGAGCTTTATAGAAGTTTTAATCGCAAATGTTTATCCAGTCAAAAACCAAAAATTAACGGCTGTTGGTTATAAAATTTGTTTGTCGACCATACGTGGCAACAAACCACTTCTGTTCAGTCGATCAATTGAAAAACTGGAAACAAATGACGCTTTTAAAGTGCCTATGAAGTAAAAATAATTCCTGCTTATTTCAAAGTCTTTTCAAAGTAAAAAAGAATGGCATTTTCTTTTTTGGAATATCTTTTTTCGTTTTAGAGATATTCACATTTTTGTATTATGCAAATGAGGAAAGTGATGACGTCATAGGTGGTTCCTCTAAAACAGCACAATACTCAATCGAGAATAACTCTAGAAATATTCAAGCAGTGTTCTTCAAACTTGGCACCAGCAATGTACATCA